CATCAATCATTATTTTCAAAAGTTATGAGAGGAAAATGAAATATTTTAGCCACCTGATATTAATCCGTTCCCCCATAACATGGGAAAGAATAAACAAATCCGGTGAATTTTAATACTGTCTTTATTTTTCTATATTATGTTTGAAACATTTATTATTTTATACTTTGAAATCCAAAATAGTTCAAAGAAATATGTCAGTTGGTTTTAATGAGCTTTATTTAATGTATTTTCAATTCGTAACATTGCTCCAGACATTTTGAATTGAGAAATCTTTCTGGATGGAAAGAAAAACATCTTCAAACTTTAGAACACAAAGTCCAGTGGTTTTGGTTTTAACTTTTTTTTATATATATATTTGTAAATTGCTAGATAAACATTTAAATAGAAAATACATTTCATAAAGATCATAAAAGGGGGAACAGATTATTTAAGGTGGCTAAAATAGCCATCTCCTCTCCTCACCTCCTTCCACATATTTGGGAAATAAACAGCAACTGTTTCCAAATTCTGAAAAAAATTTTATGTGTGATAACATGTCGTGTACTATACATTTCTTTAATCCAGTAATCTGTTATATTTAACATTAGAACGGGATAAACACTACGTGTTGGAAAACTGTGTTTGACGACTGACTTTTATATCTGTCAGGCTTAACTGAAGTTGGAAAAAGACAGATTCTCTTAGCATTTAAAAAATAACACAAAACAGCTTAAAAGGACCTCGTCTATTTATTTATTTTACAATTTTATAGACAACAGCTGCTGATTAAACTAGATGTTGCAACCTTGACATGAATATATGAGTTGTTTTTAGTGAGAAATGGATCAGAAGAAAAAATGAAAATGGTCTCATCCGCCATTCCCGCCTCTCTGGCTTCGATGCGCTCCCGACACAAGGGGACAGAATTCCATACAACACCGCAACAAACAACGTCTGGAAGTAAAGACTGGATATCTTTAAAAATTAATGATGTCCCCCCTTTTGCACTAAATGATGTTATTTTTTATATGGACCATCTTCCCCAGCCTGTTTCTTATACTATTAACGTCCTCCTGCTGTTGGGTAAATATCAGATCCACTGCGCTAAATGGAGAAATTCTAAACCTTCCTTTCATTGGTTTATGAATGACTTTAAAATACATTTTTCTTTTCTTAAGAAGATGAAAAATGACAAACATGCCAAAAAATTTAGACTTGATTTCTCCAAACATCTGCTATTTTAAGTGCATTCACCTTTTTGTTTTTATTATTTCTATGGCTCTGTCTATGTTTGATTTAAATGTTTGCTGAGATAAATCTCCTGTTAGTTGTTTTACTTTTTTGTTTTTCTTTTATTGTAATTGATCTTTATCTGTTCATGTTCACCTTTACCATCCTCTCTGAGAGTATTTTTTCATGTAAATGTTTGTTGACTTAAACAGTAGCCGCAGTAGCCGCCAGAGATGGCAAAAGTACTCACTTTCCGTACTTGAGTAAAAGTACAGATACTTGTGTTAAAAAATACTCTGGTAAAAGTGGAAGTACTGAT